CACAATTGTAAAAGAAAGCTGAAAAATTGTTTTTCTCATCTTGATGAAGATTAGACGATGTTCAGAAACAATATGTACAATTGTTCCTTTAATTCTTTTGCAAAACTTTGATCAATCGGTCCGAGAAAACGGTTTGATGGATCGATTTAAGAATTTACAGGAATATGAGGGGAACATTAAGCTGTAAAAACACCTAAAAACATTAGTCTCCCCATCAATATTAGTGAATACGCGATAGATTTATTAAAACAACGCAAAAAGTTACTTTTTTCTCTTTCCTTTGAACCAATGTTAAAAGAGAAATTTTTTTTTTCCAAAAAATCATAAGAGGGTCTTATAAAACATTTATTCAAGTTTTGACACTACCCTTATATTCTCTGTGTGGTCATTGGTTGCTGAGATATCGATGATCAATGACAAGAGGAACCTTTTTCATTTAGATTATGACATCTCAGTGACAAATTAATGCAAAGAGAATATAAAAAAAGCATATTAAAGGTGAACAAACATGCTATCTGGCCTATGCAATAACTTAACTAAAAAAAAATTCCCCACGTTCGTGGATCAAAAACAAAAACATAAAAATTAAAAAAAACTCGCGCTCTCACTTAGAATTGCGTAATAACCGTAGCACACAAAAAATATATGCCAAAAGATTTCCAAACTAGAAACTTAAAGCTTCAAAATGGTTTTTAAAAAATCTTAATACAACCATTTTTCGATAAGTTACAGCCTTTTTTGGAAAATTTTTTGTTCCTTTAATTTTTTGGAGTAGTTAGTATTGCTTTTTACTCTCGAACTGATAAAATAGTATATATTATTCGGAGTAAAAGTGAGTTTATGTGGCTCAGATAAACATTTATTTTCACGAACGTAGTGAGGAAAATAATTCAGCTGAGATAATATACTATTTATCGAAAAAATGACACTGTAAAGAGTAGTTTCTTACCAAAATATCATACGGATGACTGTCGTTTCTAAATTCCTCCGGAGGAATCAAAACAACTCCATGTGAAGTAACCGCCATGTTAACCAAATATTTTCCTTCATCTTTCAATACAACCAACGAATTAATTGTTCCATTCATCCTGAAAATACCTTCACCGACTGCACGAGTCAAAGCGATAGATTTTGCGCTATTTGAACTAGCTTTAAGCGACCTTATACTTGCTTGTTTCAGCTGAAACAAAAATTTAGCGGAAAAAACACGTCAAGAAATCAAATACATTTTGCATATTCTGGAAATATTTGTCATCGTAATCAAGGTAATTTTCATAAGTTTCGGTGACAGTTTCTTCAATAGGAGTTTCGACTTCTTTTGTCACATTGTATTCTATGGGAGTCAGAAGTGAATAATTCGCATTGGCATAAGTGTCCACACATTTAGATATGATGCTGAAATGTTATTAATAATAAACAATTTTTGTTCTAACAGTAAAGTAACCGAGATTGTTGTAGAGATTTATCGCTAAGAGATAACGGATACTTTTCTTTTTTCAACAAATCTAAAAATTTTATGCTCATAGTTTTACAAATCTCCGTCGTTGCTTGAGCAAGTTCTGGGTCTGCTGCGGGAAGCGTCTGGTTCTTGGCTTTAATGTGAAGATTCGTTATTGTGTTACTCACTTGCAAAACTTCGTTAATCGAATTGACCGGTGACTAAAATATATTTTGTTAAAACTGATGCGAAAAAAGTTACTTACATTAGCTAAATCTTTTGCAGCTTGCAATTTTAAATCTCTGATAAAATTTTGCATTTTTTTATCTTTTGGTTCTTTACTAATCACTTCATCGACTAGTGTTTGGAAAAGTTGTAATCCTTTCTGTCTTACTTCAGGATCCACACTAGAAGTCAGGTCGGAAAGCTTTTGGTCTTGATATATATCTTTCACGACATCCACCACTTCTCCAGTTGATTTATCTTTTAAGCTCGACTTAACTTCGACATCTAACTGGATTTCAAGTTTAGGTTGTCCTTCTTTCATTACTTTTACAAAATAATTTGTATCGTTAGAAGATGGCAATACAAATTTTTCATTAAAAATGGCAGGACTATACCCATCTATCACCAGTTGTTCTTTGCTTGGATCTAAAAACCAAAACATTAGTTTTCCGACAAAAATAACAACATACGGTTCTCAAATCCTACCAACTGCACCAATTAAGTATATAAAAAACAAGACTGAACTATTTGCAAAAAATACAAGGCAAAAAATAATAGAAACCTTTCTTATTTCTGGTATAGAGCTCGTACATAAATCTGTCTTTCTCCGAGACTTGAATGCAATTCAAACGAAATTCAGTCAGTAGAGAGTCTCCAGTTTTCGGTTCGATTGAACAACTTTTGACACCTTTCATTTCCCCGAATTCGATTTCAAGACTTGCAACGCCTTCACGTTTCGATTTCGGATTTAAATTGACACTTATAGTGTAGGTATCTGCCTTTAAAACATTTGCTTCAATTACGAATTTTGTTCCGGTTCTTCCAAATCGCGTGTTTTTCGCATAGTCGAAAGAAAAGTTTGGATCTGTTTTTGATTTAATCGTCCATAAGTAATCTTTTTCCTCATCAATATTGTCACAATTTTGGCTGCATGTTACTGTTAGAAACGAATCTTCTTTGGGGCTTGATTTCTCAATTTCCGGTGGACAATTCCTCTTGCATCTACATGTGCAAGAACATGTTTTTTTAAGCAAATTAAATACTTGTTCCAACTTACATAATGTTCAGATTTGCAACATCTTTTTTGACCGTAATTGTTTGATGTTCAGTAACCACAGGGCCGTACTTACTTTTTAAAACCAATGTGATCATAAACGTTTCACCTTTTTCGACGAATTTTTTAGGAATTGTAATACGACTTTCCGTAGAAATAATCTCGTTTTTACAAAAAGTTGGCGGTTTCAATGTTTGTGTGCACGTCCATGAATAAGTGAGACCCTCCTGTGATTTATTTTGAAAATTTTTATCATATGATGAACTACCATCAACATTAATATCGGATGATGAGTCTACGACTCGATTAACCCCTCCTTCGATTATAGCAACAGGTTCGTAAGCTTTAAGATTGAGCCAACAGAGCAGATATCCACTTTCACCGAAAACATTTTCGGGGAGATCTTTCCTCTAAATTACGTTTATAAAACCTTGTAACAATTTATTAATTAACGCACCAGAGAATTAGGCTTTTTATTAGCAGATATCGCCACCAAATATTTTCGGGGAGTAAGTGAGTACGCAGGAATTTCTAAATGGTCTTCAAAAATATCAACTTTTGGTTTGATGTCTGCAAAAACAAAAAGTCATAGAATTTTTTTTAAATGGTCAAAAAACTTAACTTTATCGTCATAAAAAATATTTTGGTATTTGAATTTGACCAGAACTGAATCAGCTTTGAATAATTCAGAAAATAAAAGTTTGATTTTATACCAATCAAATAGCAACATCAAAAAATATATATAATCACAATGAGTCCCCACACTGAAATTTCTAAAAATAGTAATTTACGTAGTAAGACGTAAAAATAACATTCAAAGTTCCATTTTATTAAAAACAATTTAAAAAATTAACTGATGCTAATAATAATATCGCATAAAATATTGGTGAAATATGAAAAAAACACTTCATTAGTCTACAAAAAATGCTTTAGACAAACAGAAAAAAAGAAATGTGCACAAAAAGTAAAAAGATCGTCTGTACTTAGATACTAGTGACTAGTAACGGTCAGAAAAAATCAAACAAAGAAAAAAACAGAGAAAAGCTGAAAAAAGTGCTTAAGAATAGATAAAAGTGAAGAAAGTTAAAGTTAAGGATAATAAGAGAACAAGAAAAAATTCCATTAAAATGAGAAAAGAAAGAAAAATTGTTAAATGTAAACAAAATTAATAAGAAAACAGAAATAAAAAAAAGAAAAATAATGAATGTTAGAAGGTTGGACACTAAATTTTTCGGGTCTCTTAGTTTTATTCTTCAAAAACACTTACCGCCGTACATAAAGAAAAAAAAATTGTATTCTTTCACTGCGTTTTTATCGTTTTCCTCAATCCATTCCGATTGCAAAGATATTCTCTGATCGTGATGAAGATCAACTTTATCATTTTCACTAAGAACATTTGCTGTGTTGTTATACCCTTACTACAATGAGGCAATAAATTACCAAACTTCAAATCGCACGGCATGTGGCTGTGTATCATTTGCGACCAATTTTATCAAATCCTTCTGTTTTATAGTTTTGATATCCTTWCGAGTAAAACAAAAAACCAATGACAAGAACAAAATACTTGCACACGCAGAGAAAAATGCTGACGAAAATATTGTTTAGTAAAATTACATACTTTGGAAAGAAGTTAATTATTCTTACCATTCATTTTTCACAACTTTTTCTTTTGACAAATATCATTGACTTATGTTGTCAAATTTTATTTAATATAAAGCCTACTTTAAAAAATACATTTATGCTGGTTTCCACCAGCGATAATTAAATAATATTGATAATACAAAGTGGTTATAAATGATTTTCGTCTAGCCAGCTGTGAATTTTCCTTGTAAAATAAAAAATGCCGCTTTACGAAAATAGGGTTACCTACTTGTTTTAACTCAAAATTAAAAAATCGCCGTTTGCTAAGCGTCCACTTCGAAAATAGACTTCAATTATAAACTTGTTTTCTTCCAAAGTATACATTATTAACTATTATTATTGGAAATTAGTTGAAACAATAAAAATTTAATTAACAACAATTTATTATTAATTAATAAGTGACASTAATGACAGTACTAGAGCTTTCAAAAAAAGTAGAGCGGCACAAATAAAGTTACATGCAAAAAAAATCCAAAGCTGACTAGATRAAAATCATTTATAACCACTCTGTATTATATAATAATTAATAAGAAACGTAAAAAAAAAGAAAAAAAAACTGATTAAGACAAGAAGAAAGTGTTTTTAGACAACAGATGTCTAAGAAAGAAAACTCTAAAAGAAGAAATGTTAAAGAAGAGAAAGTACATTAAAACAGTAAGTTAATTATGAAATTAATTTCCCGTCTAATTTACTCGTAACTGTAAAAATGCATTAGATTTTTTTTTTAATTGCAAGATTTTAAGTTTTTGTTTTTTTCTGTTTTTCGTAAAAATTATAATTGAAAGTTTTTCTCAATTTAGTAAGATTTTAATTAATTTTTCCCAATAAATACTAACAAATTAATTTAAAAACAAATCTAGCAAAGCTCAACTATAAACTTTTTGGTTACAGATTTTTATTGTCAAATTGCAAAAACACTTACATATCCCATCGTGAAAAAAGAAATTAAAAATATATTCCTTCACGGCATCTTTATCGTTTTCCTCAATCCATTCTGATCTTACAGAAATTTCCTTATCATGACGGATGTTAACCTCATTACTGAAAGAACACTTGCTATGTTATACCCTCAAAACAATRAAAAATAAATTACCAGTTTGTAAATCTCACGCGATGTGGCAGTGTATCTTTTGCAACTAATTTTGACAATTGATCTCGTGTCATGTTGCTGATATCCACACGATCATARCATATAACTATTGATAAGAAAAAAATACTTGCAAAAGCATAGGCAAATGCTGGCAGTAAACACATCGTGTAAAAAATTACTAGCTTTGGAAAAAAAATTTTTCTTACCATTCATTTTTTGACAATTATTATTGACTTTCGTCGTCGAATTTTACACTATTTAAAGCCCACTTATAAAAAAATTATTCCATCTCTAAACGGAGATAAAAAATAAAATCTAGGACTAAAATTTTTGATTTTCACAGCGTCTTGACTAAGATAATATTTATTGATTTTTTTACCTTCAACTTTTAAGAAACCTCTTTAATTGCAATGCCCTTTCTTCAATATATTATCAATTTTTTTTTATCCTTAAAATCATAAAAATCTGAAATCAATAATGAAATTTAAAATTAAAATTTTTAACTAAATTCTACAAATTTTTAGAAAGATCAGGACTTGTGTGGAAAATCTAAAACTATTTTCATTAAATAATCGTTTTTATAATTTTTATTTATATTTAATTTTTTTCTTATTTTTATAATGAAAATATTAGTAAATACTAAATATTGTGTTAGTGTTGTTTCCTATTTATTAGTGTCTTAYTAATTTTTCATACTTTACTACGCTCAGCTTCAAAAATTCAAAAAATTCGTAATTTGTAATTCGTAAAGTTCATTTTTTTTGTCGAGATTTGGGTTATTTTTTGGCATCCGGAGGTCTATTGCGAATAACTCCGGACATATTGGTAATAAACTCTTATGTTTGGTACYATTTGAAGTCAAATTTAATTTTCTATCATATACAAAAAAGATSACAATAAATAGCAATAAATAGTTACCGAGAAAATTTGATAAATTTGATAAAGACAAAAATAACAAAAATATAAATTCGACTATAACTTCAAARCTATTACAAATTTTGCTGTTTTCTTGACGCCAATCGATTCCCCAGAACATTTTACATATGTTTAGGTCAAAATATTATACAGTTTAACTGCAATTTACAAAATAAAAAAATGTAAAAATTTGTTAATTTGTTTCTACGAAACTCAAAAAAATCGACTTTTTTAACTCAACCCTATAACATTTTATACACATTTTTAAGTGTTTTACAACATTTTTGCACTTATCTAAGT